GCGCTAAAACATCGTTTAATGGGATTTGGGGGTTTTTCCCTATGGATCCATTCCCTGGGAGCTTCTGCTTCCAGGCTGAAAAGGTCTTTGAGGAAGTGTCCGGCCAGAGCTCCTCCTATCCCAAATCCAAAGGATCCCTGGATCTTCTTCCCCACTGGTGAGAGAACAGAGAATTCCTGGATCCAATTCCCTCCTCCCAAACCGACGGCACCGGCGCCATCCCGACCCGGCCTCGCGCCGACACCGCGCCCTCGGGAAGAGATTCTGGAAAACTGGAGGATGGCTAAGCAGGGAAAGGGACGATTTTTCCCCAAATTGCCATCCAGAGGGAATCCAAAGCTGGCTGATCTCCAGGGAAGGAGGTTCCACCACAAACTCAACGCGGCCCAAGGATTGCCATGGGAAGGTGGGAATCCATGATCCCATTCCTACGGATTCATCCCCCCCAAGAACGAGTCCTTTGCCCGATGGGAATTCGGGATTCCCATCCCAGCGCTATCCCAAAGCACAGCGAGGCCATTCCCACCCACATCCAGCAGCTCCAACTTCCCAGCCCAGCACTTCCAGCGAGGAAATCGGGATTTCCTCAACCTTTCCATTGGAAAAGCAGGCCTGGGAGTCTGCCCGCTCTTCCAGCCCGCGGCAGCGTCATTCCGAACGCTCCAGCCACGGATCCCGAGGTGGGATTTGCAGGAATTCTCGCAAGGAACAACCAACCAGCCTTGGGAATGCCCCCATCGCACCAGGAGGTGTTGGAATTTGCCACGGCTCCAAGATTTAACTGGAATCCAGGACTTAATAAAGAGCAAAATGCACCAAGTTTGGCGTTACTCAAGAAGGGCCACGGGACAGGTTTGGAATTCCCTGGAATTCTGCGTCGCTCCGATCACCGCCTTTTCTCTCAGAACTCCCCACTGCGGAGGCAGCGCGGATGCTGGGATGTGTCTGAGGAGCAGGGAAATTCCTCACGGACACGGGAGGGGCTCCTCCACCTGCACCCCTCCTCTTTGAGGTGGGTTGGAACTGGGAGCAAACTGGGAACGGCCCAGATTCCCAACCCATCCTTCAGCCAAAGGCCCAACCTGCAGGAATTCCCGGAGCACCGACCTTAAAATTCCCTGGGGGCCGTGGATCCTGCGGGGAAACAGCCCAAGCAGGTTTTCCAGCCAGGCCCTCCCTAAAAACCAGGATTTGGGGAGCGCACCTGGAGGGCTGCTCCTGGAGTCTGGGGAATTTTAGGTGGATTTTGGGGAACTTCTTGCTCGCAACCGACTGGGAATGCAAAAATGGATCCTGGGACGGACGACAAGGAGCAGCCTCCCCTTCCCACAGGGACACACGGCTTCGGCTCAGTCTCATCCCAAAAAACTCCAGGATTCCTGCATCCATCTTCGGAGGCTCCATGAAAGTGGAGCCCAAATTTTATTGGGAAGAACACACCAAGCGTGGAAAACGCACACAAATCCAACCCTTCCCACCACCCGCCCCAAGGAACCGGCGCCGATTCCGTCGGGATTCCGAAATGGGACAATTTCAGGATTCAGCCCCAAAATCCACGCTCAGACCTCATCGAGTGGAATCTACGGAGCAGGGCTGGGACAGCATGGATGCAATAAGGAGCCATGGAAATAAAACCCGGCCTCCTCGGGGCTAATTTTAGGCTTGGAAGCGCCGCTCCCAACACCCTCCGGATTCCAAAGGCTGGTGCTGCTCTTCAGAGGGATTTCAGGCATATTCCAGATCCCCCCCATCCCAAATGCCCGGCTAGGATTGCCCGTCCAAGGGGCAGAGACAAAACACTGGGACCTGAAGGGGAGAGTTATCCCCTTCCCCCAGCCCATCCCGAATCCGCCAGCGCCGGGAAGCGCCGCATTCCCGGGAAAATCACGGGAATAAAGAAAGAACCAAGCCCGGCGCCGCTGCCTCTTCCTGACCCGCTTCCCACGGATCGGGACCAGCTCCCCCAGCTCTGTGCCAGCACCAGTGACCTTTCTTTGGGCACTTTTTGGCCCAAAAAGCCAAAGCTGGCGGGATGGGGCGCGGTGCCCGCTCAGATTCGGCGGGACACGGCAGGGCAGCTCCATCCCGGGAACGGGCCGGAATATCCCTGAACATTCCCGGTGTCCTGCTGGAGGGAGCACCCGGAGCTGTTAAAGCACCGCAGAGGAGCCAGGCTGGCAGGGCTGGGATTGCCCAGCCTGGAAAAGGGAAGATCCAGGGAGACCTCGGAGCAAAGTGGGAACAGCTTGGAGGTGGGAAAGGGGAGATGGAGGTGGGATATTGGGAAGAAATTCAGGTGCTTCCCAACACGTCCCATCCCAGCATCCCGAGATGCTGCAGAATATCCCGAAAAACCTGGGAAAGAGCCTAAAAATATCCTGAAAAACCTGGGAAAGAGCCTCAAGTACCAACGCAGCCGTGGCAAACACAACCCCAGCCGCCATCCGGGGCTGCGCTCCCAGGACTGCGGAGCAGAATTCCAAGATCCGTGTGAAACCCAAACCCACACCAGGAACGCTGATGGAGCGAGGAACACTTTCCTACTGGATACAGAATGGAAAACTGTCAGTGAATGGGAAATAATCAGGGAAAAAGCTGAAATGACTGATTTTCCTCCCATCCGGGAAATTCCTCTCCCGAGCGGCGGATCCCGAACCCCTGGGACAGGAGACTGGAGGGGAAGGTGCTTCCAAGAGGATCCCGAGTGGGATAAATCCTGCCAAGCAGGTATTGCTGCCCCGGGAACACCTGAGGGGTGCTCCGAGGAGAGGACGCTGGAAGATGGATGGATGCTCCCGTCGGCGCCGGCCTCGTGACCGGGAACGGCGCCAGGCGCCGAGATCCCGACGGATCGGAGCCCTCGGATGGATCCCACGGAATTCCACCCTGGATCCCTGGCAGGGACCCCCCCGGGGATGGATACGCCGGCTCCATCTCACCCCAACAGCAACCGCAGCGTCGCGGATGTCCCAAATCCTGGCGTGTGCCAGGGTCTCCCACAGTGGGCACCCCCAATCCTTAAAACCCCTGAAATTCCCAAAAAAACCGCGGCTGCCTCTGCGATCAGCCCCAGCCCCCACCCGGGAGCACCGAGGAACAGGAGTCAAATCCTCCCACACTCCTGCCAGGAGGAGGCTGTTCCCATTCCCGTGCTCCCCCTTCCTCCTCCTCCTCCTCCTCCTCCCGCCCGGCAGCGGCCGAGGAAGCTCCAGAAAATCAAATGGATATTAAAAACAAAACAAAATTAAATGAAATTTAAAAAAAAAAAGATCAAAAACGCTCTGGAAAAGCCGATCGATCCCGGCGCATCCGTACGCCGCCGCTCTTCCTCCCTGCTCCCAGATTCCCAAATCTCCTCCTCCTCCTCCCTTCCCGGCAAACCTCCCCCTCCCCCCGCCATCACAGATCCCTTTTCCAGGCTCCAAGGGGAGGGGAGAGCGCCCAAACGCCTCGATTTTGGGAATGTGGGGAAGGATTCTCCTCGGGAGCACAAATCCTCATGCCTGGCAGGAGAAATCCTCTCGGATCCGCTCCTGGCAGAGGAGCCAGCAGCCCAAACGTGGGTGAGGGAGGGTCCGTGCCCCTCCCCACCGCCTCAGTGCGGCGCTCCCACCCCGATCCCACCCAAAAACCGGGAAGGGGCGCGGGCAGTGCCCCCGGCTCCGCGTTATTCCAGGGATGGCGAAGTTTCCCTGCTGCTTTGGAGCCGGGGAAGCAGCACCGGGAAGCGACTGGAAGC